ATCGGTAACGATTGAGTGCAGATTAAAAAAAATGTTATTTTAAAAAATGTATCTAATACTCTTGGGTAATTTTGAAGGCCTGTGATAAGTAATTCAGAAGGTGTAGCACACCAGCAATACAACTGAAGGAGTCGTAAACCTTGGGGCATCTTCCCAGGATTTATTACATTTATACTCCATCTTTCCTATGAGCTCAGAACAGCTTACATGAGGTTCTCCCTTCATTTTATCTCCTTAACAGCAATCCTGCAAGGTAGATTAGGCTGAGAGAACAACTGGCCCAAAGTCACACAGTGAGTTTCAGTAGCTGGGGCTGGACTTCAAGCTGGATCTCCCTAACCCTAATCTAACACCTTAACTGCTACACACACCAGTTCTCCATGGGGGGGACTGCAGCAGTTCAAAATAGATTCTGGAGCTCTCTGATAACAATGGCTCATTTTGATTGCTATGTCAACTTTTTTCTGGCTTTGCACCCAATAATTGGAAACCAGAGCAAAACAGGCTTTGTTTTTTGCAGTGCAGAGCTTGTAGGAAGTCTTTATTCCCACTGGCAGTAATTCGTGCCTCACCCTGCCTCCTGAGCAATTCTGTTTCAAGAAAAGATGCTATTTAACAAACAAACAAGCAGCAGGGTGCTTTGCAGGGAGGTCTCCTGCAGAAGAGAAGGGGGAAAATGAATTATTTTTCAGTTTCAACCTTCCTAACTTTGCTTGAACTACTGTATGTGCAAAAGAGCTGCAAGAATCTGCAAAGAGTCAGAAGAGTCCACATCAATCCTAGAATGCATTTTAAAATTGAATACCTTCTCTCTCACCAACATCAGCTTGTTTAGCAGCAGGAACGCATGGTTAGGGATACTGGGAAAAGTTCCTGGTTGCAAAACTGCCAACTTGGTATTAATAGAGAATGAATTACAGATTAATTCAAAATTAATTAGAAAATTAAACAGGAGGGTGCCAGTAATATTTGACCTGAAGAATATAGGGTCAGAATACAAGATCAATGTAAATAACAGATTCAGAATATTTATTGTCATACAAAAGAGAAACTGGAGGATCCAAAAAAAGAAATGAGAGATTTGTGAAAACTGAAGTGAAAAAAAAAATTGCTTAAATTTCTAAGAGGAAAAGATAGCTAATTTCAGAACAAGCAGTCATGACAACCAGGAACAGAGGATAAAAGCCTTGGGCAACAAGAAGAATGTATGATGACAACTGAATGCAGATATTTGACATTAAGCAAGAAAGGATGACGAAAGATATCTCAATCAAAAATGTCAACAGAGGAAAATAACATGAAAAAATGTTTTCATGAGGATCAAGGATATCACAGAAATATTTATGATAATAATAGAACTCTTAGGCAAGTGAGATTAAAAGATGATGAGACTATATTGAAAGACTTTACAAATGAAATAGGGTGTCAAGTCAAGATGGTGGTCATGACGATTTGATCAAAGTTCAATAATAATACTGGGCATTGCTCATAAAAAACAGGCAGAGCTTCAGTCACACTATCATGACTGCCATTTTGACTTTCTTGACCAAAGCACCTAGAATAGACAAAATAAACTGTTTTGTTTATTTTGAACTGTTTAAAGCAACAGAAGAGGCAATTAAATTGCTAACAACTCCATGTCAACAAATATAGAACCAAAGTGTATGACGTAGAGATTGGGAAAGACTGGTATATATTCCTTAATTCAGAAGAGGATGGAAGCAAATATGCACATTACTGTCTGTTACTCTAATTCCTCAAACAGATAAATTTTTGCTTAAGATTTTATAAGGTAGACTGACACATGGAGAGAGAAATTAAGCAGTGGGATCCTAGAATGGTGTCTTCTCTGTTGCCACCCCTGCCCTCTGGAATACCATCCCTCACAGAAGTTCATCTGGCCACAATCTTGCAATCCTTTACCAAAGCCCCAAAAAACTAGTTTTCAAACAGGCCAGAGGAAGAATGATTTGTGATCCTGACCAGTGGGGGATAGATGGTTGATGTTTAAGTGAATTTTTCTCCTCAATATGCTATATGTGCCTTTATGGTTTTACACTGTATTCTTTTCAATGCTGTTTTAATTCTGTATGCCACCTAGAGTCTGTGAATTTGACTGCCTATACATCTAAATAAATAAATAAATGTCAAATGAACAGTTGGATTCCAGAAAGTGCAGATACATCAGAGCGTATAGCTAACACAAGATGATAAGACAAAAAGAGTAAGAGAATTTAAGAAGGATGTTTACCTTGGCTTTCTTTTTCTTACCCCCAAGAATAGGACAAGAACCAACGGGTGAAAGCTTTAAAAAGAGACATCCACACTTAAAGTTAAGAGGAATTTCCTGACTGTGAGAGCTACTAAGCAATGGAATAGCCTGCCTCTTGGAGTTGTGGGTGCTCCATCACTGGAGGTTTTCAAATAAAGGTTGAATGGCCATTTGTCTGGGATAGACTGAAGATTCCTGCCCTGGGCAGAGGATTGGACTAGAAGACTCTAAGGTCACTTCTAACCCTACAAATCTATTCTTGTGACTACAGCAAGGTCTTTGATCATGTAGATTATGCCAGAAAGTGAAATATATTAGGACTAATAGGTATACCTCAACACCTAATTATACTTCCAATGAAACTTTACAATGTAAACACTTACAAGATATTGTAAGTGGTAAAGAATAAGGAAGATAGAGACAAGGAAGCATATTATATGTTAAACTTGTGCAACAAATATGTCATAAGAATGGCAGGACTGAAACAGATGACAACTGGAATAAAAAATGGAGGTCGAAACACTTAACAATTTGAGATATCCAGATAGCTCTACTTTCTTAAGTGAAAGTAAAAAAGAAGAATATGTTATGAAAGTAAACATGGAAAGGGAAAAATCTGGATTTAAATAAGATAAAGATAATGCGAACCAACATGATTAGTGAATTTACAATCGATGGTGAATAAGTAATCATGTTATATAACTTTCAAGGCCAGATAAAGATAGACACTGGACTAGAGAAGAGATTTATCCTAGAAGAGAAGGCAATAACAAACTTAGACAAGTTCATGAAGTATATTTCTATAACAAAGATCAGAATAGTTAAACAGTGGCTTTTCCCATGATAATGTACAACTGTGAAACTTAGTCACTGAGAAAGGAATAATTATGAATTATATATTTTGAATTATAGACTTGGAGACAATTACGAAGAGAAACATGGACTGCAAGAAGTCTTGAAATAAAGTTGACTTCTTTTAAGTCAGTTGCATGACAAGTGGGAGGCTGTGTAAATTAATTGAATTAATAAATAAACATCAGCAAGCAAAAACTCACATACGTTAGGGGGATGGTGGCATTGAAAAAAAGTCTATGCTTGGCAAGGCTGAAGTAAACTAGAAGGGATAAAGTGGGTGGCCAGAATTAAGGAGTGGAATGTCTTCGAAAGGGCAATAGATTATCACTGGAAGCAGTTGAGACGACAGGTTTACAACTGCCAGGGATTGGATCTGATTTGAGAGCACCTAAATTACTAATAGTATCATTTCATCTTCAGTTGCAATGTAGTAATGGTGGTAAGATGGCTTGGATGCTCCTTTTTCTTTTACCAAACTATCATTCCTTACATGCACTCACATTCTAGTAATATTGTAGTAATTTATTACCTTTTTTGCATGGAATGGGGTGAGGGCACTTTTGCTTTTCCAGGATCATGATAACTCAGGGGGCAGGGTGGTTATTAAATGATGTTTTTGCACTCTTTGTCAAGCTGGAGGGAGACTGATAAGTTCATTTGATCTCAGCATATTCCTTGTGTTCCAAGACTGGTAGTACTGTAAACAGTTGCAAGTCAGTTTCAAACTGCTTTGTGAAATTGAGTAATGAAAGCAATGGTGATATAGAAATGCCCTTATTCTAATCCAGATTATCAATCATTGTGAAGAAAACTGGAGTAGAGAGAAAGGAAGGTACTTTCCAGATCACTATATGTATTTTCCTTTTGGCTTCCTAATGCAAAAAACCTTCAGCTGTATATCATAGCTGTTCTGTTTTCTGCTGGAAATATAATCCAAAATTTCAGTAGCTTCTACACATATGGGAAATGTGAATATACTGAAATCTAGTTCATAAATCAAAATGAGTTCAAATTAAATCTGATACCTCTTGTTCTATTGCTGTGGGAGGCTGATCCTCAATACCAAGATAAAGCCATCTTTATGTCTGTTTCATTTATGGTCTGTATACAGGATTTAAAAAGACAGACACATAACATGCCAGCTCATAAAAGTAAATAAAAACATAATTAAAAAGTCTCTCTGTACATCTGCAGTGTTCATCTCCCTCCCGACTCAATAATCAAAGCCAGCATCAACAATTCTGCAATGAAGCTACAGATTTCCAATTTGGAGCCAGAATGCTGCCTTGTTTCATGAGGTTTCAAAGGAATGCTCCAGATAAAAACGCCAGAGAGCTTCAGCTTTTCCTCTTGTGCACCACTGCTGTTTTGGAAGAAATTGCTTCGACAGCTATATCATAAATGCGAAACTGCCCAGAGATTTTCTGCTTGTTGACTTTATTCGCTATTCGGCCTCTGATGCGACCAAGCTCTGTGCCTAACATATATCCAGCACTTTTCCGGCCTCTGCAGCCTCAGAAAAGGAAGTAAGAACCCAGACTTTTCAAAATGAAAAGGGAGTTTCCTTAAACAGCTTCACTTACAGCACAGTCCTAGACAAAGAGATGCATACACTCGAATAAGGTTTATTCCAGGTAACTACAGCACTGAACGCTGCGATCCTATAGCAGCTTACCTAGAAGTAACCTCCCCCCCCCCCCCGGAGTGAAACTTGTCTCTAATTCAACAGAAACGCCGCAAGTTCACCTACTTTCCGACTACCAAAAGGACCACTCTGATTGGGTCTCGCGAGACCTCCTAGCTTTCGCATCGAGCGCCCGGAGGCATTCCTTAGGTAATTCTCGCGATATCATGAAGACTCGCGAAACATTGTTGGGGCTTTATCAGCAGCGTTGAACTGACTATGGAGACTGAGATAACGGAAGTAAGGACTGGAGCCGGAGCTTTGTGATGGTGGATTTGCGCGAGTCTCTTGAGCCTTAGAAAGTGAGCTTCAACCATCCTCCCCCGTCTTAACCGCTAGGATGGAGGCGAAACGGAAAGAACTGCGCAAGTCTTTAAGGATCAAAGTAATCTCCATGGGTAACGCCGAGGTTGGCAAGGTAAAAAAAGAGCAGGAACAGAAGCAGGGGCGCCTTATTGGCCCGAGGCAGGAGAACGACAAGCTGGCTGACCAATCAGGTCGCTCTGCTTTATTTGGCCGTTGTGACACTTGATCGTGCATGGAATAGAATGTTGTGCTCTAGTTTGGTCTGGAGAGGTAGAGGAGTTGGGTTAAGGTGGAGCTTCCAAAATGTTTTGCTATGTATTATTTATTTTTATATTATTTATTTATCAAATTTATGTGGCCGCCCATCTCACAAATGTGACTGGGCAGCATACAATAAAACCAACAATTAAAACAGTATTTAAAAACTATTAAAAACAATTCACATTAAGTGGGTACATTCTCCCAAAGATCTTAAAATGATATAGATTATCCTGCTACTTTTATTCACACGTAAACTCTGCAAGATACATTAGGTGAAGACAGCAGCCGCATTCTTTGACTTGCTTCCTATCTAAATCTATCATAGTTGGCTGCAAATATCCAGACCGCCATTAGGAAGCAGCAAAGAGACACAAAACGCATTCTTGGCCGCCATCTACTGATCTTGTGGATGGGGATTCTTGCAACCCAAATATCTGGTGGTGAGGATTTAAAAAAAACATTCAGTATACTAGAACTCATGAAGCAGCAAATAGTCCTCAGCTAAAATCATTGTTGGTTAATATAAAAATAAAAAGTGGGAAACAGCTTCTCATTTAAGAGGGCTGGCGAAGAAAATTATTTTATTCATTATTTCAATGGGTTATTCATTATTTAACCTGAAGGTTAAAAGCATGACAGAAAAATCTATATGATACAATAAAACAATTAACAGTTATAAATCCATCAATACAGTAAGTCCTAATAAATTGTAACAAATCTGAGATAAGTTACTCCCTTTAAAAGTTGGAACCATATGATCTGGAACTCATAACTGGGCGATTTGGCTGGACTCTCAAGATGGAACATTATTTTTAATTTTATCCCGCTCCTGTTCAAGATTTTGGACCTTTATCCTCACAACTTGTCTGTGAGGGTAGTTATTCTCATTTGGAAGTGAAGACTTGGCCTCTCTGCTCCTAGTCCAGTGATGCCAAACCTTTTGGGCTTGGTGTGTCAAAAATTCAGAAAATGCCTAACGACTCTGCTAGCATGGCACCCCTCCCGAACAAAACAAACAATTCTTTACATATTAATTTATTTTTAAAAAATACAGTCCAATCATGTGTGGTGCTATGTATTATATAAAGAAATGTCAGATAATTACAAAAATGAAATACGAGTAAAACAAACTCAGTTTCTTTGGTAACTCAAACAGGGAGAATAGTTGTCAGGTGTTGGTGAACACTGGCGTGTCACCCAAAACGTTCTAGTGTGTCACCTTTGACACGTGTGTCATAGGTTCACCGTCACTATCCTAGTCTGATGTTTGTGCAGTATAGTGTCCAGGTTCCATTAAAACAAAGGATCAGCAGATCAGCAGATCTAACACTGGATACTACTGGAATTGAAGATGGGTCCTATATGCAGACATTTACCTAATTTACTATCTAAAAGTATGGAGAGGTGGGTCTAGATGTACTTCTTTGAGTAGACTATACTGGTAGAATTGGCTTCCTCAGTCTGGTGCTCTCCAGATGATTTCCAACTTTCTAGAAAGCTGTGAAGACCTGGCTATTCCCCCAGGCCCCAGGTGCTAATGGAGCTCTGATGTGGGTACAGACATATTTGTTAAGTTTCTAGTGAGATTTTTTTAGGGATCTTGACTTCGTATTGTTTTATGCAATGGATTTTTGTTTTGTTCTGTTTTTACCTGTTTGCTGCCCAGAGTGCCTTAGTAGATGGGCAGCCATATAAAAATGTTAAATAAAACAGATAAATAAAATATTATTTTTTGGACTACGACTTCCCCATCTAATGTGTCCTGTAGTGTTCATGAGTACAAGCATCATCTTACAGTGCTGCAGTCTCTATTGTACCTACTTTATCTTATATTTATTTACTCTGTTTTCCAGCAATTTAAAACTAAATTAGGAACAGGGAGACCCAGGTTCTAGTTCTCTCTCAGGCACAGAAGCCAGCTGAGTGGTCTTGGGCCAGTCACTCCCTCTCAGTCCTAATGATTGTCAGGCTCTGGGACAAACTGGCTGAAAAACCAATCCCCCCATGTTGTATTATGCACTGATAGCTTCATTATGTGAACTGAAGTGAGCGCATAGAAACAACCAGAACGTTTTGCAGCGAAGGGGAACAAATGCTAGGAACAACAAACAACTCTATCTATCTATCTATCTATCTATCTATCTATCTATCTATCTATCTATCTATCTACATGTATTTAGATTTTTATTGTAAGCAGTTAGAGTCACTTGAGTAGGCCGCATACAGTATAAATGTTGATAACAATATAATTCAGCAAAAAAATGTGAGATGGCAGACTATGTGCTGCACAGTTTCTTAGTATTCATGCACATGCATTTACATTAATACTGTACAAAATATTTGCAATCATGGGTCAATAAATAAACATTAATGAGGATCACTATTAAACAAATACCCAGCCTCTATGTTCTAATCTTTAAGAGCAGGGCAGCCAGCAAATAAAATAGTTACTATAATTTCATTTCTGTGTCCTTCCAATCCCACTTATTTTAATATATGAGTTCATGTGGGAGTTGTCTGCTGTTAGGGCTATGCAGCAATGCAGATTTGAAGAGGAAAGGGTGATTCAGAGCCACATGATCCCAGGAAAGGCACATTTGATTTAAAGAGGTGCCAACAGAAGCGGTGTACATACCCATGCATGACTGGAATCCCTTCAGATCCAGATCACTGCCCAGCTTGATCCTGGACTGTTGCAGCCTTTCAGAATCTGATGCCTTCCAGAAGTTTTGGATTAGAGCTCCCATGGGCACAACTGGCAGGGCCAGTGATTGGAATGATGGCAGCTTAGCAAATACTGGCTTTGTACTTTCAGTCGTGCAAGATTCTGTTAATGTAGCCTATCAATAAAGTAGCTCATCTGGTCATGTTTCCTGTCTGGTTTACCTGGGAGGGCTGACACCAATCTTGCAAGTCTGTAAGTACAAATCTCCCACCCTCCCTATTTACCGCCTGATCCCCAATTTTCCAAGGTCATTCTCACATTCCATTACACATGACTCCCCTTTTTTTTACTGTCTGGAAGACATAATAGAAAAGAAGACACGGGGCAAAAGCAGACCCAGACACACATTCATTATTTATATAGTGACAAGTTAGAATAGAAATAGTTGCTCGTCTCATGTTTGCTGGCAGAACGGTCCTGCTTTCCTTCTTTTTTTCCCTTTCCTATAGAATGATGAAATGGCTCCTGCCAGATAAGAGTTGAGGATAAAAGATCTCTGTTTTCCTTCAGTTGCTTTGCCACAGTCTTATACTTAGATATAAGCAGAGTAAAAGTGATGAATGGCTCAGGATAGTCAATGATTCAGCACACAACCAAGCAGGTTGGCCAGATTTGGGCAGCTGATTGATTTGCTCCATTTGTGTTTTGAACATACTATATCTGTTGATACAACATTCTAACTAAATGCACTTCTAACCTTCCTTTTCTATATACAGGTAGTCCTCGACTTACAACCACAATTGGGACCGAAATTTCCATTGCTAAGTGATGCAGTCATAAAGTGAGACATCATGTGACTGCATCGCTTAGTGATGGCAATCCTGGCACTCCCCACTGCTGTCATTAAGTGAATTCCACTGGTCATTAGCCAAGGACCCACTCCAATCTAAGCCATTCCAGGCTTGGTCCCTCCCAGCTTTGAGCCTCAGTAAGGTAATGGACTGCCTCCAACTCCCCCCACCCACCTATCTCCCCACCCATCTCTGCCCTTTTGGCCACCCTGCACCCTGCCTTGTGGGGTGGCAAGCAGCCCCACAATGGGGCGGCTCTGGGGCAGCTTGCTACACTGAAGCTCAGGGGCTTCTTGGCCCTCCTTCCCCCTTTGCTTGCTTGCACACACCGCACCCTCCTTCGCTTGCTTGCATGTGCCGTGCCTTCCACTTGCTTGCACGCACCACTGCCTTCCTTTCCCCTTCGCTTGCTCGCACACACCAGCACCCTCCTTCCCCTTTCACTTGCTCACATGCACACACACTGCTATTCTTCCTTCCTTCTCTTGCTCAAGGACTCTCCAGAGGCACTTCCAGCACATATTCTGCAGCTCATGTTGGAACTGCTAGCTGTTTGAAAGGTTTTTTCTTTCCTCCTGCAAAGCCCAAGAGCCGCAGTGCAGCACAAAGGGGGCATGGTGTATGCAAGTGAGCAAAGGTGGGAAGAAGGGTGTGGTGCATGCATGTGAGTGAGCGAAGGAGGGAAGGAGGGTGTGGTGCATGTGTGCAAGTGAGTGAAGGGGGAAGGAGGGCTTTGGTGTGTGCGAGTGAAGGAGGGAAAGAGGGCATGGTGCATACAAGCAAGAGAAGGAGGGAAGGAGGGTGCAAAGCATGCATGCGAGCAAAGTGGGGAAGGAGGGTGTGGTGCATGCGAGTGAAGAAAGGCCGGAGTAGGTGGGGGAGACTTACCTGAGCGACTTGCGACCTCCCCGCTGGCTTCCCCATTGATTTTGCTTGTGGGAAGCTGGCAGGGAAGGTTGCAAATGGAGATCACATGAACGTGGGGACACTGCAATGGCTGTAACTTTGGGGACTGGTCATAAGTCCATTTTTTCAGCACCGTCGTAACTTCAAATGAATGGTCGTAACTCGAGAACTACCTGTAGATACAGTACATCAGAATGCATTATAACCAGTGAAAACACCTATGATGTATCTGTGTAAAAGAACTGAGGCTCCATTTTATTCTTGTTATACAATATGCTGATAGCACTGTCTATATGAATGATAAAAACTGAAATATACTATGTTATGAGTTGGAAACAAAATTTATATTTACTTCGGAGCCATTGAAACAGACCTGTCTTATTATGCTGTTTGTTTTATGCTCACACCCACCTTGAGCTGATAACCCCATATCTAATTAAATTCCCTGTTCATTCTGATCAGTTTTATTTACAACTATTTCTTTCAGATTCAAGTGGGCTCTGTTTCTTTAAATGTGATGACATTTTGTCTTGTAATATATAAGATGCACTGCAGTTGGATTGACGTATTTACTTAATTCATTTCATAGTTAATATTAGTTTCATATATGTAATCTGTTTTATGGACTGGTACTTGACTGTAATAAAGAATCTATTACTATTTAATATTTACTTAACTTTAACTTTACACTTACTTTATATTTTTACTTTATATTACTTTTTTACTTTATATTTACCGCTACTATATTTATTTGAACTGTACTACTACTATGTTTACTTAACTACTAGACATACATAAAACCAGTTTTTAAAATATTTTGATTACAATTAATTATGAAAAGCACAGCCCAGATTGGGCTGAATAGACAGCCTAGTCCCTTTGATGAAGCCTCTTTTTAACTTTTTAGAGCTGCATTATCAAGCGATACTGTGAGAAGAGATTTGTGCCCAAATATCTTGCAACAATTGGCATTGATTATGGTGTCACCAAGTGAGTACCCTTCTTTTATAGCAGGCCATAGTTACAAATAACAGCTCTTGAAAATATGTGAGCCAAGCTAAAAGGTATATATGCGAGAGATGGAAAAATGCTCTTGATTGTTCATCCACTGCAGTCATTCGTAATTTTTCTGCCCTACTGTTGGTGGAAATAGCAGTTATGAAGCTGATGATGATTCAGTGCACATCCCATTGCGTATTATATTATGCACGTGAATGTTTCCCTGCAGGTATGCTTCGTGTATGGCATGGAGAAGCTATTAAATGTCTGATCGAGTCTTTATTGTAATGTTACTGACAGTATTAGCTGAGGGGGAGTGTGTTATCTGATTGTTCTTGTATCCTCTTGTTGATTATTTAACAGTTACTCAGTTACAGATTACTCTTAAAGTAATCCTGGATCTTTTCATCTGTCATTAAATGACTGTACCAACATTCAGCTGTGCCAGTGGCACAACTTTCATATTGTGATTCTTATTAGTGTTATTGTTTTTATAATGTATTAAACATAAAAACTAATACAAACTAAAAAAATAAAAGAGTAAAATGAAAAAAATGAAAAAAATAGAAAGGGCAGGAAAAAAAGGAAAAGAAAGAA